TAAGGTGGGTGTTTCTAATAAAGTGGCCAGAAGAAGCACAAGTTAGATGTTTCTAATAAAGTGTCCAGTGAGTGGTACTTCAAGGTAGCTGTTTCTAATTAAGTGGCCAGTTAGTGAAGGACATGGTGGGTGTTTTTAATAAAGTGGCCAGTAGAAGCACAAGTTAGATGTTTCTAATAAAGTAGCCAGTGAGTGGTACTACAAGTTAGGTGTTTCTAATAAAGTGGGTAGAAGAAGACAGTGAATGTATGTTAAGATATTCTTGCTGTGTGATTTCACAGTAAATCTGTGTGAATCTCCTGCCTGTTGTTTCTACCTGCGTGTGTGCTGTCTGCGTCTCTCTGATAGACAGATCATTGCGGTGGAGTGATTGCGCGTTGGCAGGAGACACATTTAGATGCTGGAAGCCGGCTGGCTGCTGCTGGATCAGAGCCAGAACTCTGCTCGTTTCTCTTCCCTGTTCGAATCATTTATCATCTTTTACGCTGTTCCTGGCAGCTGATAGCTTTCTGAGCACTTTCTAATGAATCCTCCACCTTCCAGAAAGCTTTCAGACGCCCCGGCCAACCCAGAGACGAGGGGGGGGGCAAGTTCCGCTTGGACAAACAGGATATGATATTGTTAGTCTTTATATAATTGCGGCAGCCCCCCAACCCCTCACCCCATATGCTTTTTGGTCATATTGATTGCTGGCGAAAGTACAATGTGCATGAAGTTGTGTTGGCCAATAGAATGACAGCCGTGGTAAATCTGTTTAATATTGTACACTCAAGATTAAACCTGCATTATGTAAGGGATCAGCTGACATTTCTAAAACTGTGTTTTCCAAAACTCAAGACCCTTCGAGGCAGTCCTGTTCTCTCGGTGCGCGTGTTTACATACTGTATTTGACCTTTCATCATGTTGCTATTTGTTCGTCTGGTTTGCTGAGTGCAGCAGAGACACTGTTTATCGTTCTCGCCATTGTGTTTTCTTTTCAATGCTCACTCTCTCTCTGTTTGAGCTGAACTCTATATAGAGTGAAATTGAGAGAATATGTGAGCCGTATTCACGCTCAGGCTGCAAAACACACAAACCTCAATCCCCAGATAGTCAGGACAGTATCTGAAGTGCAAATAAAAACTGAAAGCAGTGTTTTGTGAATCCATATTGACCTGCATATATACAAAAAGCAGTAGAAAGACAGTTACTGTTACTTTATCTTTACAAAGTTACATTTACTGTTTTACCTTATTAGCTTCATAGCTTCTTTTTTGGAAATATATGCTTATTCTGAAATTGATGCCTTTAATATGACCCAAAAAAAGTATTGATATAACACAGTGACAATGATGTAATCGTGCTTGGGTATAAGAATAAGATCTTTTAAATGTATTGTTTTAATCATATGTTCATTATGTTTTTAATGTTGTTTTTGTTTTTCTATTCACATTTACTTTTTTAAACAACTCTGTTCTGACTCTACCCAGAAGGATAAGCGGCTTAGAAGATGTGTGTGTGTGTGCTGACTCTGTTTTTTCTCATTTGTAAAGCACTTTGCATGACAGCAGAGTTGTCTGTGTGTAAAGGGGAAGCCCAAAAACCACAATTGACCACCCCTGACTTTCGATATCTCAGACAGCAGCATCACCACATGAGCTCAGGAATGCTTAGACAAACCAATGTTGATAAGCGCTGCTCATTGCTGCATCCACAAATGCAAGTTATGCACAGCAGAGGCCAGATGTCAACTACATCCAGAAACACTGCCGACTTCTCTGGGCTTGAGCTCATCTGAAATGGATTGATACTCAGTGAAAACATATTTTGTGGTCTGACAAGTCAGCCTTTCAGATTGTTTATGGAAATATTGGATGTTGTGTTCTCTGCGCCAAAGACAAAAATGATCTTCCAGATTGTTACCGGCGTAAAGTTCAAAAGGTGTGTATTAGTGCCAATGGCATGAGTAACTTGCTCATCTGTGAAGGCACCATTAATGCTGAACACATATGTTGCCTTCTAGACAACGTCTTTTTCAGGGACATCCATGATTATTTCAGCATGACTACAGAAAGCTACATTCTGCACCTGTTACAACAGCGTGGCTGTGTAATCAGGAAGTGCGGGTGCTAAACATGCCTGCCTGCAGTCCAGAATTGTCTCCCATTAAAAATGTGTGGTGCATTATGAAATGCAAAATACAAGCAAAAAAATGCTTAGTATGATTACAAAGCTGAAGACTTATAAAACAGAAGAATGGCAAAAAGAATTCACTTTCAAAACTGTGTCAGTTTGTGTCGTCACTCTACAAACAACTATTATATATGATAATATATTATATATGTATATTATATATAATACTATGTATTTTATATTATTTTATATTTAAAAGAAAATGTAACACAGTAAACATGCTCCTGCCCAAGCATCAAATTGGAAAGAGCATATATTTGCAAAAAAAAAAGGAAGAAAAGAAAAAAAAAGTTCATAAGTTAAAACATGTTTCTGTACTGTTTTCAATTTAATTTGGGCTCGCTAGCAGCATGCAGTCCTGTACTAAGGTGCTGTATTAAGATTAATGTCACCAGGTAACATCAAAAATATTGAATAAACACATGGTTTGCATTGGAAAATCACTGTTCAGATTTGTTTTTTGGCATAAATGATAAACAAATAGTCTAAAATATCTATTTGTTGCTTATAAAGGTTAAAATGAACTTTATTAAAGTGAAATGAAAGGAGCAAATGAAAAGAGGCTACCTCATGCATCAGCATGCAAAAAAGGATGAGACTAATGCTTCTGAATACTGAGTGCCCAGCCTACACACCCACTCTTTCAAAATAAAAGTCCCTTGTGGCTCATTGGCAAAGTGGTGAATTAAAATGTCACTGCTGCTATATATAAATTTAAAGGCATGTTGGTAAAAATATGTGCATGATCAGTAGCTGTAGGTCAGAAGGCAGAGGTACAATTTAAAGTGTGAACTATAGTTACTATACTAAAATACATTAACTATAAAAAAATATGCAGTCTTGATCAATTTACAGCTTAGGTGTTTCTACTGTATATTTAATTGGAAGTGTACAGCGTGTTGAGGTAAACCAGGTCAGGTGTGCAAATTGTAGTAAGTGTTTGTAAAAAGCATCACAGATGTCATATTCATGAAGTAAGTAAATGAGCATTTGCAGCTTAGTGTTCATTAATACAGCTTAAATGTCCAAGCACAGTGAGTTCCAGTTAAAGTGCAAAGTGCTTGTCTAATTAGCTAGTGAGCTTGGTGTGTAGATACGCTGAGTACACTGGGGGATCAGGGTTAGATCAGTAACCGTCCCTAGTGTGTGCGTTTATGTTCTGGTTGGTGTTGCTGGCGTGACCCGTTTAACAGCTTGCAGGTAAAACTTGTTCTTGTTCCTGGTGGTTCTGGCTCGGATGTTCTGGTACCTCTTTCCAGATGGCAGAGGTTGGGACAGAGAATGGCTGGGGTGTGTGGGATCACAGGAGATGATGATGGCTTTCCTCTGACATCTCTTGTTGTATTGGTGGAAGGGCAGCTGTGGTGATGTGCTAGGCAGTTTTCACCACCCTCTGCAGGGCCTTGTGTTCAGCAGCAGTGGTGCTGCCATACCAGACTGTGACGCAGCTGGTCAGGATTCTCTCCACAGTGGACCTGTAGGTGTTGCAGAGGAGCTGGTGTGGTGGGTTGACTCTCTTTGGCTTTGAGAGGAAAGTGGAGCATTGTTGGGCCTTTTTTGACAAAGTGTTGAGTGAACTGAAGTCAATAAACATTTGTTTAAAACATTTTTAAATAATTTAAAATAACTGGAAAACTGCAATTTTTTACATGACTTGTTTGGCATAGTTGCTGAACTGAATCAGTCTACAGCAGGGGTACATAATTCTGGTCCTGGTATGTTAGAACCATTACCTAACATCTCATTTAGTTAATGAAGGCCTTCAGAAGCCACTGAATAATATAACCAGGTGTGTTGGATCTGAACTTTGAATGGTGGTAGATCTCCCGGACCAGCTCTGGGCAGCCTGTTCTACAGCAGTTGTTTGTTTCCTTGTATTTTATTCTCAGAATGCACCATAATGCTTATTTTTTGCTTAAAATCACTTTGTCTGGAGAACCAAGCCTCTGGACCCAGCACAACGGGTTGTCCTTGTTCAGAATTTTTGTTACTGCTTAAAAGTTTGTGTCTGTATGTGGTGGTTGTGAAAATATTAGCCTCTTGATTAGATATTTTACCGTATTTATTATCTGCTGCTGAATGTAAAACACACTGTAATCATATATGTTAATAATGCCAATAATAGATATAAATATATTTACAGATATTATGAGATAATCTTGAAGCTCTTTGAATTTGAAAGCCTTCATTTGGCCCCTGAACTGGAACTCTGGCCCCAAATTAAAAAAGATAATCCAGGAATTGTCACTGAAACAGTGTTATTCAGTGTGGTTTAGTGTGAAATGGTTCAGATTTCTTTACAGTGGTGGCGATAGGAGCCAGGGGTCACCATGACTACAACACAAATATAGACATTTTATTTAATATCCAAAACCACCAGTGAACCTACACATGTCTTCAGAGTTTTATATGGAATGTTGAGGATGGTAAAATAGTGGAAAATCTGAAAATAATCTTTGGGGACTATTGTGCCCTGCATGTATCCTTCCACCATGAATGAATGTAAAACTATCGTAAAACAGTGTCTCAGACATCAGGCAGTGAATTCATAACTATTTCATGTAATAACTTTCTGTAAGGAAGCTTTTAGAGGTGGAGGTCTGGTTCCTATCACCACCGCTGTGAACAATTCTGACTTGCTAAGTTTCTCTAGAACAGAGCATTTCCACACCAAATCACTCTGAACGACTGTGTTTGTATCTTAACCATTTAATTATGCAGAAATTTTGAAAGGTAAAGTGGCCTAAGCAGTGTGTCAACCAGTCTCTCTCTCTCTCTCTCTCTCTCTCTCTCTCTCTCTCTCTCTCTCTCTCTCTCTCTTTCTGTAGGGTAAGAGGAATAAGCCGGGAGTGGACTCAGCAGGTTCTCCAGACTCAGTATCAGTTCGAGGTCGGGGAGAGAATAAAGCCATCAAGTAGGTCCTTTTAGAACCTCAACTAATGCAGAAACCTTCACTTCTTCTCACAGCTCAGTGTGTTCTCACAACCAGTGTGATCTGAATGCAGTGTTGGAGACAGATCTTCTGTATTGGTTTGGGCAATTTGATGATAATATCATTGTGATGCAAACAATATTGACCAAAGACACAATTATCAACAATTTTACTGGTAATTCCGTGTGCATGTTCACCAGTGCAAAAGACGCCACCCACCAGAAACAACCAGTCATTATTAGACTTTGGCAAAAAGATTAAAGATGGAAGGAATGCACAGATGTAATCACGACATCATCATAATTCAGTGCAAAGTAAATGATTACTTTTCGCATGGCGGTGAAAGTTACTTTCTAAGATATTCGAGCAAAATACACTTGACTGCTGCAGGAAAATATTCAGCGCTACCTTTTGGCCAGACTGTAAAACACACTATATGGCCAAAAGTATTAGGACACCCTTTCTAATTATTGAGTTCAGGTGTTTCAGCTACTCCCACTGCTAACAGGTGGATAAGATAAAGCACACAGCCGTACAGTCTCCATAGGCAAACACGGGCAGCAGAATGAGTTGTACTGAAGAGGTCAGTGACTTTAAATATGGCACTGTCATAGGATGCCAGTTTGTGAAATTTCTGCCCTGCTTGATATGCCCGGTCAACTGTAAGTGCCACTGTGAAATGGAAGTGTCTAAGCACATTGTCATTTTCATGGACTGGCATTGAGCAGCTGCACACAAGCCTAAGATCTCTATGCGCAATGCCGAGTGTCGGCTAGAGTTTAAAGTACGCCACCATTGGACTCTAGAGCTGTGGAAACGTGTTCTTTGGAGTGATGAATCACGCTTCACTATCTGGCAGCCTGAAGGACGAATCTGGGTTTGGCATAAGCCAAGGGAACCGTACCTTCCGGAATGCACAGTGCCAACAGTAAGGTTTGGTGTAGGAGGGATAATGGGCTGGGGCTGTTTTTCAGGCCCCTTATTTCCAATGAAGGGTGATGTTAATGCTAAAGGACACAAAGACATTTCACACAATTATATGCTTCCATCTTTGTGGCAGAAGTTATGGGAAGACCCTTTCCTGCTCTAGCATGGCTGAGCCCCCATGCACAAAGCAAGCTCCACAAAGAGATAGTTTGATGAGTTTGGTGTGGCAGTTGTCTGTACAGAGCCCAGACCTCAACCCCACTGAACATGTTTGGGATGAACTAAAATGGAGATTGCGAGCCAGGCCCTCTCGTCCAACATCAATGTCTGATGTCACAAAAGCTCTTTTAACTGATTGGGCACAAACTTCCACAGACACACTCCAAAATCTTGCGGAAAGCTTCCCACAAGAGCGGAGACTGTTATGGCCACATCGGGAGCAACTCCATATTAATGCCCGTGGTTTTGGAATGGGACGTCCAACAAACTCATATAGGTGTGATGCTCAGGTGTCCACATACTTTTGGCCATATAGTCTATTTTAAAGGAGCCAAATTATGCTGATAGACTACATATTTTTAAATAAGAATTTCTTTTTTCTGAACATGACCTATTATATCATTTACTGGATTATGCACAAAACAACTATCAATGAATATTTGATTTATATATATATATATATATATATATATATATATATATATATAATATATATATATATTTTACTTCAAAAGGGCCAAATTAGGCCTATATACAGCAGGGTTTTTAACCATTCTCATTTTTCAGTCTAATGGGATATTTTAAAAGGATCCATGACAATTTTGATAAATGAATACTGCCCGGTCCTAGGGCAAATTCTACGGAGGAGCCAAATTAGATCTATATAAACTGTGGATTGTTTTTTGAAAGGAAAATCGTATGAACGATAGAACTGACTGCCGGAATATTTAAGACAGACCTCTCTACGATTTTGAAAAATGAACATAGCCTAACCTTCCTAAACCACGGCTAGACATGAAGACCAGAACCCGTTCAGTGTGGCTGATGAGAAATCCGCCGGCAGCTCACTTACGGTCTGCAGTCCGCCTTTTGGGAGCTCCTACTTCTTCCACTCAGCACTGCTAGAATATTCATCAGGCTCCGGTCTAATTAGGCGCAGCCACAGCCGGCTCCAGATGGGTCCTGTTTTCAGAGTAGCACTCGTAGCCGTGCGGCTAATCAACAGCGGCCACTCAAGGGCAGCGAGGGCCTCCTGTCCCGCAGCCCTGCGGCTGGCTGCAGTGGACTCTTGTAGGAGCACAACCCACGAGAGCAGTACAAGGAAGATGAGGCGGTCAGCTTTTGTTGGCTATGTTCACATTACAGGGTGGGATGGGTGTGGTTATTTTAATATGCAAATGTGTCTTATTAATATTCATTTACTTAAAGGAATGAGATACTTACAAAAACGGATACTTACAAAGTGAAAGTCTCTACATCAAATATTGCAATATAATGAAATATATAAAACAAATAATGAAGAGTCTGTTAGCTAGATACACTTTTTAAAAAGATTGTTCTTCAAGGGTTCTTTAGTAACACTCAAAGAACTATTTGCATGCTTAAATGGTTCTTTTCATGGTGAAATCATTCTTCAGATTGATGGAGAAAGTGTTGTGTATGGTTGCATGTAGAACATTTTGAAAACAGTTCTATGTCGTACCAAAAAGGGTTCTTCTGTTCTTATAAGCTGACATCAGAAAAATAGCAGCACCCTTTTTGGTGTTATAGAGAACCCTTTTCAAAAACATTCTATACAGAACCATATACAGCACATTCTCCATTATTCTGAAGAACGATTTCACCATGCAAAAACTATTTAAACATGCAAATGGTTCTTTGAGTGTTTGTGGTTCTATATAGAACCACTGTCTATACTAAAGAACTCTTAAACAAGCATCTTTTTTAAGAGTGAACCTTAACTTTACCACTACTTTACATTTGTGGAATACCAGCATCCAGTCAATCAGGACAAAGACCCCGTTTACGCCTGATATTGAGTATCAGGATTATATCTGGATGAGACCACATAAAAATGCAAGTGTAAACGCACCAAAGACACATTTAAAGCAGATACCAATCTGATCACTCAAACTACTTTAGGAGGTGGACTGAGATGCATTTGAGCCTCAACGTTACAGCAGCATAAACACATCTATCTCTGCAAGACACATTCGGCAACCAAATGTACAACCGAAACCCCTCCCTGTACAACCGAAACCCCTCCTAGTACAACCAAAACTCTCATTACAATGAAAACTCCTCCCAGTACAAACAAAACTCTCATTACAATAAAAAACTCATCCCAGTACAACCAAAACTCTCATTGCAATGAAAATTCCCCCCCAGTAGAACTGAAACTCCTCAACCAAAACCCTTCCCATGCAGTATGTCACTGGGCTCATGATCTGTGTCTATGAGGAAGATAATCATGGAGGACACACATGGATGGGGATGGAATGAAATGCTTAATAGCAACATGGACAGACACAACTGAACAAAACAAACTGCAGACGAAGAGGCTGATTTGCATATTCCATCCCACACAGCAATCGAATTTCAGTCTGACTGACCGGATATGCATTTGACTACCATGTGTAAGTGCATGAGGTTAAAATCTAATCAGGATACAATCCAGACACAAGACACTGAGGTGACCAGGTGTAAATGGGGTCAAAAATGCCCAGCCTAGACCAGCTTTCGTGTTATATAGCCCGCTAACAGAGTTGTGATTAAAACCCTTGCAATAACTGGTTAGTTCCTAAATAACAGGAGTGAAAATAACAACAGAATTACAACTTACACTTCAAAAAGTTAACCAACAGGGTAGTTTGACTTAGAAACTGAAAATATGTTTATGTTAAATACATGAGTTGTACTGACTGGTTTGCTTAAAATGGACAAAAATGAATAAAAGTGAAATTCAAAGAATGAAAGCTGTTTACGTTGATCCAAAGATCAATGAAACCCAAAGAGAAGAGTGATCAGGTATCACTTACAGACATGATTATGATCTATCAAGGCAGATCTGAGCCAAAAGAGCATAACTGAGAAGTAAAGCTTGTTTAGGCCTGCAGCACGTCCAGTGTTTTCAAAGCAGTACCATAATATGATGTTTGTGGAGAGCAGAACATCAAACTGCATCTAGAGCAGCTCTGAGTGGGAGTCGATTGAGTGAGTTTGAGGGAGAAGTATTTCTTCATGTCAGAGAGAGAGACAGAGATGGAAAGAAAGAGAGAGAAAAGGAGAGAGAGAGATGTCAATGCTGCATCTCTGAGAAAAATAAACTCATTTAGATGCAGAAATTTAGATCGTTTTGATTGTTTTTTGTTTCTATAAGAGCTGAACAAACAGGAAGCTTCACTGATCAGGGCTGCAGTGCTGTAATCATTGCTGCTCTCAGAGCAGTAACAGGTGAAGAGAGAGGAAGAGAGAGAGAGACAGAGAGAGAGAAAGAGAGAGGTGATTCATACATAAATACAGTGCAATACAGAGCACTGCATTTTCACTGCATCCAGTATTTCTGATTATAAGACTATTCTGTGAACATTACAGGATTATTCAGCCTTTTTATAGACAATGTTTATAGACAGTGATCATATCTGGTGAGATTGTGCTGCTCTCTCCCTGTCTTCTGTGGTAAATACTGTATATAAGTTGTTTAATTGTTAAACATTCTGTATCTCTTTCTAATCTCTCTCTAATCTCTGTCTTTTTTCTGTTTATTTATTTATTTATTTATTTCAATCTATCTTTCTTTCTTTCTCCTTCTGATTTCTTATAATCAACTCCTTTATAATGTTTTTTCTCCTCAGGTCGCGTCCTCACAGCCTCAGGACTCTTTATAGGCAGCTCTCACTAAAGCTTCTCTATAAATCTGACTCTGAAGGTGTTGCTGCATCTCATGCTGATCTCAGCAGAGAGTGATGTGCAGTTTTAGACTCACTAACATCTTTCACAGCTCTGATTTATGAAGTAGGGCTGGTTCAACAGGCAGAAACCTGCGGGTAAATCCCATTCGGTAACTTCAGCCAATGTGAACACGATGGGCAACGATAAACCACTGAAACCAGTGAACTTCCTGCTCAGCACATCAGACATCTGTCTTTAAACACATTCTAAATATATATACTTTTGTCATGCAATTTAAGTCAAAGTCATTCAGAGTCATTCTGGTTTAGTGTGAAATGGTTCAGATTTCTTTACAGTGGTGGTGACAGGAACCAGGGGTCACTATGACTACAACACAAATATAGACATTTTATTTACTATCCAAAACCACCAGTGAACCTACACATGTCCTCTGAGTTTTATATGGAATGTTGATGATGGTAAAATAGTATAAAATCTGAAATAATAAGTTTTCTTTGGGGACTATTTGCCTCACAACAGCCTGCATGTATCCCTCCACCATGAATGGAATAAAATACACTTTAAGCCAAAACTTTGTCATAAAACAATGTCTCAGACATCAGGCAGTGTATTCATATCCATTTCATGTAATAACTTTCTGTGAAGGAGCTTTTAGAGGTGGACGTCTGGTTCCTATCACCACCACTGTGAACAATTGTGACTCTGTAAGTTTCTCTAGAATAGAGCATTTCACACCAAACCACTCTGAATGACTCTGTTTACATCTCAGCTGTTTAATTATGCAGAAAATTTTGAAAAATCGAAGGAGTTCCCCTTTAAGGGGTTAAATCAAGGTCACAAAGAGGCCTACACAAATATGCAGCAACACTTTTGGCCTCATCATTGATGTTCATTAACACAGCAGCCTGTTTAGCTCTCTGTTCGCCCTCTGGACAGGAGCACCAATGTTATATAAAAATGTCTTTTCATCTCTCTCTCTCTCTCTCTCTTTGTCTGTTCATGTTGCTCTGACCTCTCTCTCTCTCTCTCTGACCGCAGTGATCTAGACAGAGACTTTTGGAATAATAATGACAGCAGTAATGTTCAGCAGCGGTGGAGCTCATATCCGCCCAAAGAGTTTCTTCTAAACATGTCCCCCTACGCCCCGTACGGAGACCCCCGCCTTACACCCAAGTGAGTTTCTCTCCAGCCTGGTAAGCAATCCATTCTGTCTGTGTAGGGCTGTATGGAAAAGGAAGGGGTCTTTCTGTTAATTAAGGTTCAACTTCATTATCCAAGTTTGAAATTGAATTGCTCTGTATGTGAGTATCATCACCAACACACACATAAAACACCACCAGACAAACTCATATCAGTCACTCACTGTAGCATATAGCCTTTTTTTGACTGGATTAGTTTAACTGGGGAGGTTCTGTAACTTAAGTGATTACTGGCATGATCTGTGAATTTAATCCAATATGAATCTGCAGTGTGTGTAGTTTTTTACTGTCTGACGGTAATAGTTGTGGAGTGATTGTAATCCAGTATGAATCTGCAGTGTGTGTAGTTTTTACAGTCTAATGGTAATAATTGTGTTGAGATTTTAATCCAGTATGAATCTGCAGTGTGTAGTTTTTACAGTCTGACAGTAATAATTTTAATCCAGAATTATTTGTGTGAATTTGGGAAAATTAAACAAATACTGTATCTTAAACTAATTGATAAATCAAATCCCACACATTAAAATACACAGTCTAAACTGGAAAAAAATAAACATCAAATAGTTGCATAATAAATTCAAATTTAAAATATATGTGTGGGATAGACATGATTTTATAAATTGAGTTTGAAAAAATAGCACATGCCACTGTGCAGGTGGCCTTTTGACCCCATTTCACAGTCCATGAGTTGGTCAGTGGTCTGAAACATATATACAAAAACATGACACCAAAGCAGAAAAAAAATTAAATTACACAATAGCAGGGTATGAATAACTTGAGTTCAACTTAATAAATCCACAGTCATGTGCCCGCCTGCTCTATCCTTGAACATCCTTGGCCTTTATCACTCCTCTCCTCACCATACAGACATTAAGCTGTTAGGCATGCATTACTAAAAGGTGCTATTTAATCAGACATTTCAGATTAATACTGGATTAAAATCACAGATCTTATCTGTAATCACTTAAAAATACAGAACCTCCCCAGGTAAAACTAATCCAGCTCCAACAGGGCTTAAGTCTGTGGCTTCTTCCGTCCAGTTATTCAGCCGATCCATTAAGATTCTAGTCGCGCTCTGGCCAAAACTGACCTCAGTGGAACTGCACCCCCACCAGTGTCCTCTGGGAGACATAAAGCCAGTCCAGTCGAGAGCTCGGGGGTTAGCTACAGTCTCCCACTGCCTCACGTTTTAATTGCTTAATTGAAGTCATTATCTGGGAAGGAGAGCGGTCTCTCTAGCTACGCTCCCCGGATAAATCAGTGGCTAATTGAAAGCCGGCCATAATAGATGCACAACTCTGGCACAGGGAGGCTGGAGCTGCCCGCCCTTTTTCATCAGCGCCGCTTTAATTAGAACCCCCGATTCCCTCCAACATCTGGGCACAACACGAACTGGGAGTGCACATTAACCTGAGTGGGGACAAAACTGTAAGCTGGATCTAATAATGAGAATGAATAACTCAAATTTAGTTACAGATTCTGCCTCGATTTCTTGTGTTTGTCCCGGAATAAGTTTTTTCCAGCTGCTTTAGCTCTCCCTGCCACAGTAAAATGCATTTTTTGTTGTGGCAGTTCTTTTTGAGATGAATAAAACTGCAGCTGTGCTGTCTGTTTTATCTCAGCACAACCATCTTTGTAGACAGCTGTGAATAGTTTTCACAGCAGGAGGCTATCATCCCTCCCCTTTTACCCCTCATTGCTCGCTAGCAGCACAACACAGTGTCACACAGCAGTGTACTACTTAATGTGATCAAGGAGTTACAGAGAAAAATATTTAATTCGATTTTATCAATTAAAAACATCCTAGTCGATCACCATTCTGCCAGCAGGAAGACCGATGGGGGTCCTCAGAAAGAGGCTACAATCCCTAGCATGTCAAACTAGTCTAGTACGAGTAGCAATTCTATTTGAGAGTACTTAACAACTCAGCAATAAACTTCAGACATCAAGCACATCTTGGCTATATTCGGGGACAGAGGGGGAGATTTTTATTAGCAAAATATCACTTTTAAATATCACCCTTTGTTTTCAAGTGTCTCTTGCCCCTTAGAACTGAGTTACAAGTAGTTGAAATCTTCCCTACGAAATGGGACCCTCAAATAAAAAAGAAAATTACTTCATTAACAGGCTACTAGTGGTGCTCTGTAGGCGACCCTGCCAGTCTGCAGTGATAGCAGCGGAGGGTGAAGTTCAGCAACCTCACTGCTGGGCTTTAATTAGATTTAGGGTATCATATGCCTTCAAAGAGGCATATGTGATAATTATTTATTACTGCTGACACAATTCTTTGGTGATATGAAGCTAAAGTCAGCTATTGGCCAGCTTCTTCAGATTTTCCTGTTCCACCTTAAATGGAGCAGCCGTTACACTCTGGCGCTTCAGGCATCAGAACTGCTAGACCATTTAAGGTGGAACGGGAAATGTAGCTTGCTAGCTACTGAGACATTAGCATACTGTTAGAGATTTTTTTATTCTTGTTATGAAGAAAAGGACCATAATACATTGAAACAACATCAAGCTAAGATCATACAGTGGGTATTGTATTTTTTTAACAGAGAAAATAATCACATTTGTGGGTTTCTTTGGTCTTTGCGCAGCCATCTTGCTGGTTTTTCTTTTTTTCTAATAACACTCTGTTTGGAGTGAGTCTCTGAAAAACCTCTGTTTGGAGGGCCATGTAGCCCTAACACTTCGCACTTCTATCTCAACAAAAATCGGGACATCCTACCCCTAGACATGAACATGCAAAACGGAGGGCTAAGGGCTAAGTGGTAGGGGCGAGGGGGGAAATAGGATTTGGCCAAAGACTGGGAAGCAAAGAATAGACCAAACACTAACAAATCACAGATTCAGCCTCTTTTGTCGAAAGTCTAACCCCGAATTCACTACAGCCCTGCCAGATCTACTGACCTCTAACCTCAAACTTCTAACTGCTAACTTGCTCCATGGAGACGGACAACCCTCAGAGCTTTGACCTTTGACCTAACAGGTTAAAGTAGACCAAAGAAATTTCCAGGTTGGAAATTTCTTGCTAAAAGTTCATGGTTATGCCCCAAGACTGCTGCCATCCTCCTGCTTCTGGAGGGTTGGGTGTTGTTACCGTCTTCATGGCTGTGGAACTGTTTTCGCTGGTTTTGTTTATCATCTGTCACGTTCCCTGTGTGGTTTGACTAGCTATGTGTTCCCTTTTATATCTGTGTTTCAGAAATTAGGTCCATAACACTGTGACCATAGAATTTCTTTATGCATTTTTGCTTTAATAGTTCCATTATTGCAGATATATTAACATTACTCTTCAGTTTAACCTCATACTCTAGTATTTTCCCAAGTTATCTTTATTTTTCTCCTTTTTTTACCTCATAAGTCTAATGAGGAGCAGCATTTCGGTGTCATTAAATGTCTTGTATGTCAGAGCACAATTCCAGATAACTCAATGTAGTTAAGCTTAGGGATGGTTTTACTGAAATCTGGTGATTTCTAAGTCGTAAATTTTGTTAATGGCCTAAATGAAAATGGATATTTATCGTTCAGTAGTAGTCTGCACTTTTCCAACCCAACACAATGTCCTCCACTCCCTCTCTGCTTGTAAACCCCTGAGGCTTCCCGTCTGAATGGTGCAGTCTGGGTCATGTCTGTCTCATGTTCGTTTCGAAACCTGCCACTTTTCCCATCGGCCACTGGCGCTACTACTGGAATTGTTCATTATGGATCTGTTGCCCCTTTCTATATGTGAATGCTCGGTGTTGTCTGTCTGATGTCCAGGTTTGGCCTTTATTGGTCTTGATTACACTGGACAGGAGAGCAGCCTTGTTTTTTATTGGTAGCTGACTGTGAAGCTCCTAAAGCGAAACTTAAAGCACAACAGAACAAACTGCTGAAATAACTCATACACCAGTTCAGCTTTGGTGTGAAAGTGTTCGAATTTGCTGAAAAATTGTCCTATCCATGCATGCTGGTAAAAATCGCATTTGACCTAATGGGAAATTATAGAGTACAACTATGCTTGAATGGATAACTGGCTCTAAATGTATGTATTGTGATATAAACCGAGTCTGTTCTACAGTTTCTCATTATGTTGAATGAATAACCGGCTCTAAATATATGTATTGTGATATAAACTGAGTCTGTTCTACAGTTTCTCATTATGTTGAATGAATAACCGGCTCTAAATATATGTATTGTGATATAAACCGAGTCTGTTCTACAGTTTCTCATTAGGTTGAATGAATAACTGGCTCTAAATGTATGTATTGTGATATAAACCAAGTCTGTTCTACAGTTTCTCATTAGGTTGAATGAATAACTGACTCTAAATGTTGGTATTGTGATATAAACCGAGTCTGTTCTACAGTTTCTCATTAGGTTGAGTGGGATTGAGTTGCCTCGCACGAAAGAACAAAAGAACGCATTTGTGGGCGGAGCATGGATAGGTCAATTTCAACACTTTATTTTGATGCTCATCTTATCTGTGAACTAGTTTCAACTAAATATTATGTATTAAATTTATCAACCCTAAATGAGTCCTAATCCACTTCTACAAGTCTGTGTGACCTTAATAAAGACCTCAGTGTGGTTCGAGCAGGTTGAGGGAAGTTTTGGGGATGTGTTTATAGAAAAGATTTGGGTCACAATTGACTCCTACTGTGTATTAGCAACATTAGCCAAACTCTAGGGCTTAAATAGAGAAGGAAAGTTTGGACACCGACATATCTTGACTACATCAGGGGTACATGGATGATTGTGTAAATCAAACCACTTCTTTAAAGTCTATCTAGATGAAATTAACTGCTCCCGAAACAAATTATTGTTCACGATCCCATGTTCTCATTTACCAACACAAGTGGTAAATTTTACTCGTATTTGTTGTGGCCATGGTTCAAAACTTGGTCCTAATCCAAACTTAACTCAGTTAGTTTCACCACATCGTTTGTTAGCAGTTTGTACATTTGTAGAACAGCTATAAGGGATCATCAA